ACAAGGAAAGCATTCCCCAATCCGCAACCTTTGGACGCGCCCGATAGCGTACAGCTTCGCCACTGGTACATTCCCAGAACCTTGTACCATTGTATATCCGAAAAGCAAGACAAGGTTCAACTCGAGTGCTGAAGTTACATAATACCTACATCCTCGAGGTAAACATTGTGCATACTATTCCGAACACTCGGCTTAGAGCCTAAGGCTGATAAGGTGTTCACAACGAATGTGAGTGTGTGAATACGATGAGGATTGCACTCACTGTTTCGGTTCCACAACCCTTGTTAAACTGAACAAATCTCATGATTGTGTTACGACCCTGTTACGTCGTTCATGGAAGATAACAGGAATGAGTGCACAAAGCGCGTTTATCGACACCTGACTAGCTGAACGAAGGCTAAGAGGGCCATACAAGTTATACCTACGTGTTTACTTGTGTAAGAAGAACACCACTGCGTGTCTACAAAAGGGCAAGGTAAAGGGCAATGTGTCTAGAAAATAATCTTCCAGCGGTACAAATGCTCATTTGTTAGAAGTTGATCGCAATCCACTCACATTCTCCTGCCTGCGTCAGAACCAACCCAGCGAAATCATTAGAACCGCCTTCTAACGATTGTTTTAATTTTCATTGGCCAATGAATCATAATTGGTGTTAACCGCTTTATTCTACAGGAAAAACGACTCGCTACCGAGGTGGGTCATTTAAGTCGAACCGTCGGTGCCGCTGAACGTCGTTTGGCCGTGATGGAGTATTTGAGAGCAGAGAACTGGGAACTGATACGACTCACCAGTACTTTGAGTGAAGGTCTGGCCAAGGCCATCATGGAATACACCACTGTGAGGCTACGTCACGAGCACATCCTGGACGAACTTGAAAGCAGGAACAAAGAGCTCAGTGAGAGCCAAAAAGTGTTGGAAGAACTTGGTGTAAGTATGGCGGAATATGTATTTTCAGCGTGATATAGAGTGATGGGATGTATAATGAAGCAACTTGGGGACATTTTCCTTGGCGATTGTAGATCCCGAGTATTCTTCCTTCCAGAATGCGTAGATCGTATCGCGTTTGTTGTCGAAAGGTGGATCTTGGGCGTTTTCTCAAAAAATTAGGCTGATTTTATTTGAGAAGTTACTCACTAACGGGAACAGTTAATAAAAGCATCATTTAAGCATTTAGTTAAGCAAAGAATAGCAGATGTCGGTGCATGGTTATCCTTTTCACTAACTTCGAGGAAAGCAAGCTGTGATGAGCAGAATGAGCATGATTAAATTTTCCATTGCTACCGAAGAAGGACCAATGGCAACTTGTCACAATCACAAATCGCCAATTCACTAACCGTTGCAACTGGACGAAGGGTGTGGTGCATCAAGACGAGATCATTAGGTGGGTGGTGAATTTTGACAGTGGATAATAGATAGGCGTAGACAAAACACAATTAAGGAAGCGCAGTGCATAGTCCATCAGTTCAGTTGTGATAGGTTGAATACGCTCGGGACAAATATTGCAGTGTTTGTACTCACCTATAGTAAGTAATTGTTTACCGCTTATACTCAATGGTGGGCAGGAAAACTAAAACCCGAGTAGAGTTCGGTTCAGCCAGACAATTATGATCGAACTCCGAAGCGCGGTGGATTAAGTTGCTACGACACACATAGCCAAAATAATGACGATAAAAAATACGATTGAATGCAAACGGAACGTAAAGAGAACGGAATCGAAGGGGTGCATTAAACTAATCAGGATGGAATGAAAATTAGCAGCTAGATGCCAGAAGCCGAATGCAAGCAAACCACTGACTGCGTCATGTCTGAAAGGGTCTCCAACCATTGGTGTGGACCATCCCGTGGTTCCCATCCGCGAGGACGGCATGCACCAGCCTGACCAAGTCTCTCGGTCATTGGTTGGCCACCTCGCGGTTTCGAAAAACTTAGCGCAGCCACGGCGTATAATGTACACCGAGGAAATCAGTCGATGGGCATAACGAGGACTTAACCTAGGCAGATTAGGATGTTACGAGTCAGCAAACAAATAGGACCCGAGACAAATCGAAGATACTACGGTCGTGTTACTTCCAATTCATGGAAAATATAGACCACAGTCCTGGGAGTAACTTATTGGATTTGTCTCCCTATGACCCAGCTCCAATAGTAGCATCGTAATCTAACCAAAAACTAGTGTAACCAAAGCACTTTCTCACTGCGCAACACAGCCAGTTACTGCGAAAATGATGCGTAAGATGAATATGTAGATCAAAGTGAGAATACACAACAGTTGCACAGTTATACGCAAGACTTGCGAAGTAAAACAAACCAATTACTCCTTTATTGTTGATGCCAAACACAGGCTCGCCTTTCCGATGTGTCCGCGATGTACACCAAGATGAAGCTGGAACGGAACAAGTGTGTCTCACTGCTGCAATCCTCAGTCAAGTTGGCGATGGACACTCGCGAGCGTCTGCGAATTCGCATGAACGAAGCAGAGATCATTATTTTTCGCCTTCAGAGGCATGATCGTGAACTATTTCGACAGCGTACATTGCACGGAAATGCTATTGTTCAACGGGAGCACAAAAGAAATGAACTTTGCAAGTTAGCTAATCAACAGACCGAACAGTTAGCACGCAGAGAACAAATGCGACGTTCCATCAATCGAATCAATGTTATTTTCAACCAGACGGAGGCGGAGATGTTGAGTGTGAAGAAGGCTAAGGAACGTTGTGCGCAGGTGCGAAACGAACGGGCCCTGTTGCTGATCGAAAGGAACCAAGAAGTCTACATTCTGCAGGTAAGTTTCGGTTCAAGTCACTTTCTGTCAGTTTATTTAGTAAGACACTTAGGCAATGCTGTCTGAACTCAACGTGAAATAATCGGCTAGTAGGCGCAATGACCCGCAGAAAATTTATTGACTATAATGTTGGTGTAAAATGCGGCAAAAGAGGGTTTCGAAGCATGAACAAGGGCGTCTGACTGACATTGTCCGACATAAAAACAATTTTGGCCTTGGCTTTCAATGTCATCACAAATGGTGCAGTCTCCTTCGTTTTTCTTTTATTTAGGCTGACTGAGGGAGAAAGACGGATGTCACAAGGAGGTTTACAGCTTTTGTTTAGGGCTATCGAAGTTGTAGATTATTCTGATTGCGTTTATCAAACAGGTTCGGGATCACTCTTCACCTGTATCAGATGGAAGTTCAGTTATTGTCTTCCTAAGGGATTGCGTCGAAATGAGCTTCATACTGAATAAAAATTTCTAACTGCTAATAAAGTGGCCATTAAGACAAGGATATCTTGTAACTCATTACGAGGTACCTGCACAGGTCAGGTATTTCACTGCACGCGAATGGGTTCTGTGTTCCGTCGACTGTACACAACATCAGCACATAGTTTCAAAGGATTATCGCATTCCAGCTTTCATTTGGGTTCGCACTCTAACGGCTGCCCCGGGAAGCAACAGTTGCATTCAGTCACCTAATGATTACCCATAGCTTAGGACTAACAGTGTAGGTGCTGAAAATTAGACACGTTCATTGATAGCGAGAGGATAGAAGCATGCAGATTGAATTCTGAACAAAAGTTGAAGTAGTGTCTGCGCATTAACCAATGAAAAATGACTTAATACGGGTTAAGAAAACCTGCTTTATATGCCCCGTTGGGTGGTCCAGTGGATTATCAAAAACGTTAATGCAAAATTGAAGCTAGCAATTTCATTGTCCAAAGAATAGACTAATCACTTTTAATGCAGTAGTCCTGCAGATCCAATAAGCGACAAATGATAAATCCAAGGTATTTACCGGTAATATGACAGAGAGATAGTGCTAGGTGACGAAATGTAAGTGGCTGAGTGCGTCATCCAACCGACTTGTAAATTGGTCTACTGTATGTGCACGAAGGACCGATTCGGGGATAGTGTTCAGCAGGTGGCACTCGCGAATAGAAAAGACATTTCTACGGCACTCTAGACGGCGATACTTTTCTGTTAGTTTCAAGGGGTGATCTCTGGAGTTTGTGTTACTGCTAAGTTGCGATAAAGGGCGCTACATATAATTTGGATTGCGTTAAATCAAGTATGCCATTATAAGGTCGCCTTGTAATCGGCGGTACCTTCCGCTAAATACTCCCGAACGTTTCAGCATTTGCGCGTTTGGTAAATTGTGCATTCCACCGAAGTATTTGCAAGCCCAACCTTGTTGTTGGCCCAGTGGAGTGAGGCCGTGCTTCAGCCATGGTTGCCAGGCTTGAACTGCGTATTCGACATGGAGGCGAACATACGTGCTCAGAACCTATCGGAAAATAGAAATGTCGATTTGTCCGAATACCCGTCGCAACAGACCGACGAGTTGGTTACCAGTTTTCGATATCTTTTCAGATTGCCGAGGACAATCCAAGTTAACCTGAACCAGCCCGCCCAGGTCGCGTTCGACGGAATATCGCTACAGTAGTTGCGTTCCTAGCTTGCAGGAGTAGCCTATTCGCGTGGAAGACATGCGTCGTCTTTCTGCCTTCGATAACGGTTGTGTAAGGAGCATTCCTCCTGTTTGCTAGCAACATCGAGTTAATAGTAATGACCTTCGACGTCGCCTCTTGGGGAGTGCGAATATTCCCTTCAACAAACTGGTCTTGTTGCGTCAGTTGAGATGGCTCGGTCACCTCCTACGCATGGTGCTTGAGCGCCTACGGCGTCGCGCTCTATTCGCTCGTCAAGGACTTGGCTAGAGGCGACCGCGTGGTGGTCAGCCTTCTACATGGCGGCAGCACATGAAATCGCTGACGTCATGTCTAGCCGCTGTTGGATCCGTACATCTTCCAGGATGGGGACCCAAAGATGAGGAGTGCCAATGGCTTAGCACTCTTGAAGACATGCCCGCAACCGGAATCAGTGGAAGAATTGTGCACAGTACTGTATTGATTCACATGTTTAATACTTCAAGCATTGAAAATGACAAAAAAGAGAAAAATCGGCGTGTGAAAAACAAACTAAAAATGTTTTGTTCTATTTTTTGTCAAAATGTTCCCATCTTCCTGCGGCATATTAGCTGAAGTGTATTGCTCACCTTCAACTACTATGCCACGATGATTCTGACGCAATGACTGTCTCTTTCCGTTGATCTTCATGGTTTCCTATTGGTTTTGTGTCTAGTTGCTAGACTGCTGAGATTACATACTTGTAGGAGCAGGTAATATGGTGTCGGATGGAAAGTACCTTACATTTACTCACGTTTAACTACAGCAGATTTTTTATTAGCCACTGATGTTCAGTGCGGGATTGATAGCAGGTAAGTAGCAGTAGCTGGTAGAAAGCAAACCATTATTGGGTTTGCTTTCTACCAGCTACTGCTACTTACCTGCTATCAATCCCGCACTGAAGATGCCACCTCGAATGGTGGCCAAACGTCTGCAACCAAGTTGCCCAGCTCGGAGAACTCCACAACAACTAAGCAAGCCTCCCGCGCTACCAATATTCCAAATCATTTCGAATCGGGAGTTTCTATACGGGGAATTGTCACGCCTATTGTAAGAATCGCATCAAGGGCGAGCTCACCATTACTTTAAACGTCAGGTTGAGGAGAGAACAGCAGGAGTCTGTAAACGACGACTGGAGATTGGTGATTGCGTAAGATACAATTTTATTATTAGACAGCCTGATGTCTCTTACCTACCTCTTACCCCGTAATGTGTGGCAGTAATGAGCAAAACCAGTTTCGGCTACAATGTGCATCACTAACTGGGTTAGAAGTGTAATCGATACGTCGGAAACGGCTGGCATAAGGGGGAGATGCGGTGAAAGCAAGAGTTGTGTGGATAAAATTAACCACAATCCCAACAACAGGAGGCTGAGACAACCACTTGTCCCACCATGGGCAGTGGACGATACCGAATAACGATGCAATTGCAGACCTTTTTCGCGATCTGCTAGACACTAAACGCAGGCTCGTCGCTCTACCACAGTCTGTGCAGAACGTAACATTCACAGCCAATGTAGGGGCTGAAATAATAACAGGTTTTGGTAGGGAATTCCAAATGTGGCAAACACGTAGGGAGGAGAAATTCCGTCTACACACCAGCCAGCTGTATTGTTCTATCGGTTGGAGGCGGTAGCCTCTCAGTCAGCTGTTATGGCTTAGTTTTAGAAGCTGAGCACGACTGATTAAGGCTGCTTAGATTTTGGCAAAATCATGATAAGATCACACCAAGCAAACGCCGATAGCGTCCATTGGAGACTGCTAAGATACTCAAGCACTGTTCGTAAGGTAGGTGGTATAGTCCTTCAACCTTTTTGTTTGCCCGACGTTGGGGAATTTCCAAGACCGTGAGATTCCGCTTCAGCCATTGCTCTCATGCGTGAATTGCATATTCCACGTGCAGACGTATGTATGCAGAAAGCAGGTGGAGAAAATAGTTGGGTCAAAGTGATCAGAAACTCTCTTTAGTGGCCCCAAGTTTTGCTTGCCCTTTTTGATGTTAGCGCAGATTGCTCCAAGCAACCAAGATCTTCCCGGGCAAGCATATCGAGATCTTTTTCCCGAGAACAGTGCTGGGGATCCTGCTCGCCCAGCTTATAAGTGTGAACCAGTTAGTGTCGTTGATGGAGTACTCGACATTTAGTCGACTTGAAGTGGAGACGATTGTGGGCTGACTTTATACATCTTGTCGAGGTCGTCTTGAAGGTGCATGAAGTCTGTTGGAGCTTTGATCGGCAGCCAAACGTTGATGTCGTCAGCGTAAAGTAAAAGGTGTGCGGTGATTAGGCTCATTAAATCATTAACGAAGACCAGAAACTGAGGGGGTCATATACCGAACCTTGCGGCACAGGGTCTTCCACTTGTATAAGATTTGATATTGATTCTCGTACTGGCACTTTCAGACGCCTGTGCAAGCGAAAGTTGCTGATCCACCCTAGACGAGGATTGCCAACGCCGTATCTCTGAAGATTGGCTAGAAGGATGCAATGGTTCAACCGGTCGACGCAACTGGAGCAGTTAGGTTATGCCGGCGGTCGCAAAAAAACTGTTCTCCTGCCTTATTCGCCTCCAAATCTTTGGATTTATTCTCACAGAGACCTACGTGCCCTCATTCGATTTGGCTACGCGAGCTCCTCCTACCACTGTTCATCTATTGGATCTATCATTCACGGATCACTAGCAAACTGTGCTCTTGCAACTTCGAAGTCAACCGTATTTGAACCTTATCGGAGGTTTTATTTTTCCTCTCGTCGCATAAGAACTCTTGTGGTCTTATTTTAAAGATCTTTTTGAGAGTCACCCGATCAGCTCACTACCATTCCTTCAAGTCGCTATACAAAGCGATAGTCGTCAATTTGATCCGCCCTTGGAACTGCCACTGTCGTCATTAGACAGTATTTTCCAAGTCACCTTGCTTTGCCTCAGTCCTACGTCGCATCACTACCCACCCTCTACCGACTGGATCGATAGCACGCACCTCGCCTATCTATGCGGCCGTTACTTGCTTCAATTGGTGAATAACTTCCACAAAACTGGGAGTGTGTGCGAAGCCAAAATCCCGGGCGGCCTCGCACAAGTACTGCAGCTTTTACAACGCACCGTTGTACGTGAAGTACATGAGGGGCCAGATCTCGGCGAGTAATATCGACACCAGTGGAGCTGTGGCTGAGCAGAGACGTAAGCTGTTGCAGGATAGCTTCTGCGGTAAACGTGACGTGGTTGAGGCGAGCATTATACACCGTCACTGCACCAAGTGCGGAGAAAGCACGAGGTGTCCAATCGATGACGTAGCATAGGGGTACGAAGAAATTGACCAAGAGACTTGGTCAAGCAGTCACGTGCCGTCTTCCTAGATGGCTGTATCGTTCTAGTCCAAACCAATGATTAGAGACTCTATCGGACGTGTCACATTGTCGGAGTCAGTGCTGTTCCTGGATTCGTTCTCTTACGTTTAGCTGTTCCTACTTCAATTCGATTAGCTTCATGCACCTTGTTCTTGCTTCCATTCTGCTATTACCATATTTGAGTCTAACCGCATTTACTTATCATTCCTCATTATCGCCACTCTGGCGACGCGAGTCGTGGCAACTGCATTCACAGCACTGA